ATTAAATAAGCATTACAATTTGATTTACTGTTTAACTCCTTTTATTTCCCATCAGATATACTATGGATAATATATGGCAGACAAACTTCCTGGAAGAAATAATCTCATATTTTGGATGGGTCAATAGAATGGAACTACTCTATGATTAAGTATATGTCTTATATATGTGGCTGTTAACAAGGATGTGTTGTTCACTTTGTCTATATCATTATTCATCATCCAAGCAATAATTTACTTTTCGTGTTTAGTCATTTGTTTAGTATATGTAATTTTGATTATGTTATAACTTGTGCCCTGTGTCCTATTAATGCATAATGTAATGATAACGCCAATGAGAGGACAGTGACTTATCGACCGGACCAATGAAGTATAAACTCGTACGAGCAGTCTAGAGTGTTTACCAGTTCTTCTTCCTGCCCAGCCCTGCTTGCCTGTAGAGTCCATTACACCAATCTCATCCTATGCGATATCAATCATGTATTTCAAACATACTGGGGTTTATATACCAACCAAAAAGACCATATCGTATCATAAAATAGGAAACAACATTTGCACGAGATTTAGCCAAAAGTAGCTGTGAATGTGGGAGATAGTAATTTATAGACTAGGCATAATTCAAGAATGGCAAATCGTATAATAATAATCTATGAGTCAAAATGAAGCTTATAATAAGAGAAATATGAATATGCATAGTTTAGTTACTTAACAATTACACAACAAGAATATATATAGTATAGTATTGGTCCATGAATGGAACCCAACAATCATCATTCATTATTCTCATCGGGATATAACAGATTGGTGTAGTGTTGGACAAAGTGAGTGTCACGATTTAATGGGAAGAATAGTTTTGTTGTTTTGTTAATCTTATTGGTGGTTAATCAGGTGTTATATGATTGATTCAACGGGTCAGTCAAGCATCTACAACATGATATTTGTGCACCATTGATTGAGAATGAGACACGCCATTGGTTGAACATGGGAGTTAATTTTCCAACGTATATATACAACATACCAACTAGAGCACTAAAGTCAGATATAGAAGTAACTAAGAAGATGCTTTACACTCTATTCAGCAAGATTTGGAATAAAGTACAAGTGCAAGCAAACTGGAAAGAGGAAAACTTCATCAAGATAGGGAAGAAAGTATATCTAAGCAAGTGTGAGGACTACAAAGGCATTACACTGCTATCACTACCAGGAAATGTTTTCAACATTCAAATTCAGGTCAAGACAATCCGTGTGGCAGAAGCCTCCGCATCAGTAGGCCTCAATGTACACAAAACAAAAAGCAAGATCCTCAAATACAACATGGAGATCACCAAACCAATCACACTTGATGGCGAAACTCTGGGATGCATCATCGATGAACGTGGAAAATCCAATGCAGACGTGAAGGAGAGGATTGGCGAAGCAAGGATAGCATTCCTACAAATGAAGAACATATGGAACTCAAAGCAACTTTCAACTAATATCAGTCAGAATCTTCAATACAAACGTCGAGACAGTCCTACTGTACGAAGCTGAAACGTGGCGAACTACTACAACTGTCATCAAAATGGTACAAGTATTTATAAACGGCTATCTACGTAAGATACTGAATGTCCATTGGCCAGTTGCCATCAGCAACAGCCTTCTGTGGAAGAGAACAAATCATCTTCAATCTGAACCGGAAATCAGGAAAAGACATTGGAAGTGGATAAGATATACATTACGAAATTCATCAAACTGCATTATGAGGCATAGGCTAACTGGAAATCCTGAATGGAAAAAGAAAATAGGAAGACCATGGAACATATTGTGTCGGAAATTGAAAGCAGATGTCAAAAGAATAAATGGCAACTGGACAGGAATGCACAGGACAGAGTTCGATAGAAAATGATGATGAGCTACCTATGTTCCTCCATGATGGGAAACAGGCGTAATAAATATATAAATGAGCAAACAGATATCTCTTGATCCTCTTTTTTAGCTAGTGAGGCTTCCTTCTTAACTTTGATCTAATCACTGAGGTACCCAATTACACTTAAGTATGGGAAGCTTGTGTATCATTATCAGAACCAAACATCACATAACACAACTAAGACTCACTTCCATAAAACATTGTGCAATCTTATATTAGAACCAAATATTGTTTGTACTATAGCTATTTCACATTTCTATTTCAATGGTCATCATATATGACTATATCTTCAATGCATGAACTCTCTTACACTTCGTTAACGATACTTTGTTAAAACATTATTCCTAACATTGTTTCAATTCAGAAACGTTCTCAATTAACTAACAAGAAACTTTGAAAGAGGATTGATGAATACGTATCGATTATGAAATACTAGTTCTTTCGGAAAACGAATGGTATGAAATATAAGGATGGTAATTGTGATTAGTAGGTTACAAGTGTTATGTACTGATCTCAGTGTGAGTGCTAATTTGTCGATACTGAATATCATGTGGGATTGAACTTATGATATTTTGCCCACTTGGTGAATAAGGTACTGCATTGTATGTAAGACAGAAATAGTACACTTTTCTTTTGGAGGAGAATATGTTAGTTTACTTCACTTCTACCTGAAGTTTGTGCTGATGATGTCTTTCAGAAAAAACGATGGAAGTTCCACGATCAAACCATCCAGCTCAAAGAATAAAACTCCATCAACATGTTAGTTCACACTTCATTTCATAAGAAACTGAATTTGAAATCAGTCATTCATATTATTTTTACATAATACTAACCTATAATTCATCTTTTGAATTATTTGATTTGATGTTACCTCTACAACAGGGACTTTTTAATCAAACAGAGTAGTAAATGGTTGACTAAGAATTGACATTTTAGTTTACAGATCATCAATTTAAAACATTTTCTATTTCCCATTTCTAAATGTAATTGGAATAATCCGAAAGAGAGCCATTCTAGTACTTACGCCTGTTACTCCCAATGGAGCATAGGCCTCCGACCAGCATTCTCTAACCCACTCTGTCCTCGACTCTTCTTTCTAGTTATATCCCATTGTTGTTCATTCTTCTCATGTCTGTCTCCATTTCTCCACGTAATGTGTTCGTTGGTTTTCCTCTTCTCCTTTGGCATTGAGAATTCCAAGTGAGGGGTTTTCTTGTGACACAGTTGGATGCTTTCTTCATTGTGTGTCTTTTCCACTTCCAACGCTTCTTCCTGATTTCTTCCTCCGCTGGGATCTGGTTTGTTCTCCCCCATAGTAAGTTGTTGTTGCTGATAGTGTCTGGTCAACGGATCCGAAGTATTTTGTGTAGATAACCCTTAATAGACACTTGTATCTTCTGGATGATGGCTTTCTAGTTCTCCAGGTTTCCGCCCCATATATTAGGACTCTCTTGACATTTGTACTGAAAATTCTGACATTGGTGTGGGTCGACGGACAGTTGTTTTGAGTTCCAGATATTCTCCAGCTGTGAATATGCTGCTCTTGTTTTGCCGACCCGTGCCTTGACATCTGCATCAGATCCACTGTGTTCATCAATGATGCTGCCCAGATATGTGAAGGTTTTTACATCTTCCAAATCTTCTCCATCTAGTGTGATTTGATTGGTGCATGCTGTGTTGTATCAGAGAATTTCACTTTTCCCTTTGTGAATGATGAGACCTACTGTTGCTGAGGCTGCAGCTACACCGGTCGTTTTCTCCTGCATTTGTTGTTGCGTGTGCGATGGAAGAGTTAGATCATCTGTGAAGTGTAGGTCGTCCAGCTGCATATTAGCTGTCCACTGTATTGGATGGCTCCACCCAGATTTTGACATCTTCATAATCCAGTCGGTCATCAGGAGGAAGAGGAAGGGTGAGATTAAGCAACTTTGCCTGACATCGGTCTTTACTTCGAGTACAACTTCTTCTTGTGTAACATGATTGTGCATAAAAATCTATCTGAATAGCGATATTTATTCTTCCAGGTTAATACATTTCAAATGTAAGTTAGTGGTTAACAGCAGCGGATGGATGAACTAATCAAATTTAAGATTACAGGTCTTTGATTTCGGCGCTCAACTCATTCATTCATTTGGCTAAATCGAGTTTTGAGATTTCAGATTATGTCATTTCGTAATGAAAATTACTTACTTACGCCTGTTACTCCTCGTGAAGGAGCATAGGCTGCTCACCAGCGTTCTCCATCCAACCCTGTCCTGGGCAATCCTTTCTAGCTCCGTCCAGTTGTAATTCATCCTTTTCATATCTGCTTCTATTATCCGACGCAATGTGTTCTTTGGCCTTCCTCTTTTTCGCTTCCCCTCAGGATTCCAAGTTAGGGCTTGCCTCGTGATGCAGTTTGACGATTTGCGTAATGAAAATGCTAAATCTAATTCTTAGAACTAACCATCAACTGTAAATTATAAATCGAATTCCTCACAATAATTTATAACCCTCATTTGGTCCTAGTTATCAGATAGACAATCTCAAAGTCAATCTAGCGTCGCACAAATGTCGTACATAAATTCTGGTCTCGCCGTTAACAGCAACCGTAAAGGAATCATGCCCAATCTAGATTTTATGGATCTTAGTTTTTGACAGAATAAACTACCCCTCATTCTTCAGTGAATTAATACTTGTCATTGGGTTCGAATCACTATCATATAGCGCCACAATCAGAGATATCACTATTTATCTATTCCATATTGAATTATTTATACTGATGGCCAAGTTTTATATTGACCGACTAACACAATGACTTCTTGACAAATAGGATACTGATTATTACTTAATGATTAGTTGATACAAACATTTGTGTTTTTATTTTTTTTTTTATTGAGATCATGAACCGATTGATGTGAGACCACCATTGGATACCTGAAAGCACTGAATGACGGTTTCGTGTTATCGTGGGACTCCTCAGCAATGCGCACCCACGATCCCGCCTCGCGGGATTCGAACCCAGAACCTATCGGTCTCGCACGTTAACGCTTTACCTCTAGACCATACCCTTATACTGATATTTATTCCTAAAACAAGTTATCGTCACAACATTTATTCACCAATATTTTGAGATCAGTAAATATATAAAATTCAATGTTAAAAGTGACCATAATAATCCTTTTCCATTGAAACGTTGAATGCTAGTGCCTAAAATATATTTAAAATAATATAAATAAAATAAATGACTACAAATATGAATAATGAATATCAAGTACGTTCATTAATGACAAAAGTTATCAATTTAATAGACTCTGAAAGGCTTTGGATTCGAATCCCACCCCTCATCACAACCTTTAACTCCGCTCGGAGTCCCTCTGGGACTACTACCGATTTCAAGCCCGGATAAGGGGGGAGGGTTGGACATGGGGTTAGTGACTCCATCCCGTAGACAACCAACTCGCTAAAAAAACGCTAACCAGAGAAAAAAATACATAAAATTGTCATTTTAGTCCTACGCTAATTAACAAATTTGAATCACGTCCCCCGATCATTACATAGTACCGTAGTGAAGGAGAACACAGGTTAGGACAACCAAATTGTATGTAACATAAAATTACAGAGTTACTTGGTAAAATAGAAAAACCATTTAGTAAATCGTTCATTTGCAAAAGATCAATGCATCATATCAACCTGAACTGTTCCTGTAGCAAACATCAATCCATTGTCTCACATTTCATTGTTCAGGCGTTTCCTTACAAATTGCATTGTGTTGTCGCTCTTCCTTTTTTGATCTTCCCCCATCTTCTGCTGCCATACATTGCGTTTTAACTCGCGTGATATGCTACTTACATCGATATAAGTAGCACGCACCACAGTACGACTTATATTATGCTATTACCATATTCGTCTCTGCGATTTCAAAATTTAACATTATATATATATATATATATATATATATATATATATATATATATATATATATATATATATATATATATATTGATCGAGATCATGAATCGATCAATGTTAGACCTCCATTGAAAACCTAGAAGCTTATCTGTGTCAGGTAGAGAAAGGTATCTACCTCAGACAATGAAAGATGTTCATGTGGATTGGTTGAAGTTAGACATTAACATCATTGAATGACAATAGGTACAGTGGACTAGAGGTTAAGTGTTCTCGCGTGCTACCGAAAGTCTTCAGTTAGAATCCTGCTTGCAGAATCATGAATTCGCATTGTTGAGAACTTTCATACTAGGACGAATTGGATGTTCAGTGCTTCGAGTTTTTCAACGGTGATTCATGATCTCAATCAAAATGTTAATATACTCCACAACCGCATATAGATATATCTGTATCATGACCTTGATCTAGGATCTGTGTGGATATATAGATTGAAAGGTTTATTGTCGATTGATCACATCAATCATCGTTGGAACTATATATATATATACAACTGGATTTCATAACTTCTTAATGGTCTTTATCCTGTCAAAATAGATAAATCTTATCATTAACGCTGATATTGATCTTGTGATCACAAGTGATTGATCACTGGGTGGTGATCAATGTCATGCGTGTCTAGTCCTTATTAGTGCAGATCGAATGCTATGGATCATGTTGCAACCACCAACCACCATCTAAATCTCAATATATAGTGTCCGCAGTTTCGAGTCATCTAGACTGGTGGACACATTGCAACATGATCGACAGCATTCGATCTGCACTAAAAAGGACTATACACGCATGACATTGATCACCACCCAGTGATCAATCAATTGTGATTACATCTCAGTCCTACAGGAAGTCAGTCGCGGCTCGGCTAGCTCAGCAATAACGTCTCTGACTGTGAAGCTGGATGACACGAGATCGAATCCGCCAGGGAGCACCAGTTCCCTCAAGATTGCAGGTACACCTTGCTGACGAGTGCCAAGTAGCACGAAACCCGGGTCCAGGGTTTCCTGTTGACTACCACCAACCACCATCTAAATCGATCTTGTGAAAATGTTATGTAAATGTTGAAAAGCAATTCACATGTAAACATAATTAAATTACATAGTAACTAAATGGAATCTATTTTGGCAAACCTAATACCCAATTATGTTTATGATAACTTGTAGAGTTAATTCATATATACATTAATTATGACAGTTTTTAACTCATTAGAATTCACAAGGAATTGGAATTTATCATACATTCACGTGTTTAAATACCATAAGAAATTTGTATTGTTTAAGTTAATTAGAAATTTACACCAAAAATGTATTGCATACATTATGGATTTGATTCGAATAGACTATGATGTGTGCTAGTGATGTAGACAAGTTATAAGTAGTATGTATCATCAATCGAAAGTGAAATACTTGGAGGTAGAATGTTCAGAAAATCAAAGAAAAGAAAACGAGAACAGAGAATTCACTTGGTGTTGTTTTACTTGTATCTTTCCATTGTTATTTAGGACTACAATTGATTAATCTCTCATTTGTTGGCATATGTGCATCCTGTGCAGATTGCCTCGATATAACCTTAAGTCACAAGTTTTTTTAAAGCAAAGATGAATAGTGGCTAGTAGTGGAATCCAGTTTGACACGCGTTTCGTCCTATTTAGGACTCGTCAGTTGGATGTACCTGCAGAGAATGTTTGGTGTGGAAACGAAGGAACAGTCAGGTTTGAGACGATTGATTGACATTTTACAAACGAAGTATTAACTGTATGGTTCTTAGATTTTACTAAGAGATTATGTAATTTTGTGTTGAAATACATTCGATTGTCCCCATTTGTGTTCTCGTTCACTACAAGACAACCATTGATAACCGATTAATATTAAATAAACACAGTTAAACTCCACTGGCTACGGCTTCTCACTAGAACTTCAGGAAATAACATTTGAAGCCAGTCATTAATGAGCAGATGATGATGATTATCTGAATGGGGTTTTGTGGATATTGTAGAATTTTTTTAAAAGTTGAATTCATGAGGTATTTCCCGGAGTTCTTGCAAGAAGCCGTAGCCAGTGAATTTCAACCATATCTGTTTTAGAGGCAGTTACTCACTGAAGATAAGATTAGACAGCTACTTGATTTCTCTATTTTTCACATCTAGAATCTTAACAACGATCAAACCTAAGATCTACAATTCTCTTGGTGAATAGCTTTTCCTTTAAACTAATGAGTTAGACCTTAGTGGATAAAACAGTTCTCCCATACTATCTATCAGTCACTATCTCTAAATATTATCATGTTACCACAACTAACATCATCGCCACTATTCAGAGATCACATATATTGATAGAGATGGATCAAATATAGTCATATATATCAGTAGTGGAAGAATATCTAGAACCTAACAATTAGTAATAATAATCCTAACAAATCTCTTGAATAGATCGTTCAATTTACCTTTATTTACATAATCTGTAATGTAGAACGTAAAGGAAACGATTATTAATGTTAGTGATATGGTTCAGTTTAATCTTTACTATCAAGTACAAGGAGACAATGAACGAACTCTTTTGTAATCATGGTTTGAATAGAATCTACATCAATAATGAACAAGCTTCACGTGTAATTTTCATAGCATTTAAGCAATTAAATAAAATCAGAAGGGGTTTTTTGTGGATATTATAGCACTTTCAATAGTTAAGATCATGAGTCAATTGAAGCTCGACCATCATGGAAAACCTGGAAGCACTAAACAGCCGTTTCGTTCTATTTTGGGACTCTTCAGAAGTGAGCATCCACGATCCCGCCTCGCAAGATTAGAACCCAGGACTTGTCAGTCTCGTGAACGAGCGCTTAACCACTAGACCACAAGATTTAAGATAACATCTTGTATTTTAGCAAGAAATTCATTCATTCATTTGATTAAATATCATTTTGACATTATATCTGATGTCAGTTAGTGAAGAAATGCTTAACATTCGACTGTAAAACCTAATCCTAGTTCCTTACACTAATGTATAACTTCCATTTAACCCTAGTAAGTAGATGGACATTCCAAGGTTATTTTAGCGTTGCTCAAAAGGTTATCCATAAATTATAGTCTCGTTGCTGTGAAGGCGCGGATCGGCAAAGCAAGAGCAGCATATATACAACTGAGGAACATCTGGAACTCAAAGCAACTATCAACCAACATCAAGGTTAGGATTTTCAATACAAATGTCAAGAGAGTTCTACTGTATGGGGCAGAAACCTGGAGAACTACGAAAGCCATCATCCAGAAAATACAGGTGTTTATTAGCAATTGTCTGCGCAAAATACTTCAGATCCATTGGCCGGACACTATTAGCAACAACGTACTGTGGGAGAGAACAAACCAGATTGCAGCGGAGGAAGAAATCAGGAAGAAGCGCTGGAAGTGGATAGGACACACATTGAAGAAAGCACCCAACTGTGTCACAAGACAAGCCCTCACATGGAATCCTGAAAGTCAAAGGAAAAGAGGAAGACCAAAGAACACATTACGTCGAGAAATGGAGACAGACATGAGAAGAATGAACAACAATTAGATAGAACTAGAAAGGAGAGCCGAGGACAGAGTGGATTGTAGAATGCTGGTCAGCGGCCTATGCTCCATTCGGAGTAACAGGCCTAAGTAAGTAAGTGAGTAATAGTCTCATTGCTAATTCTATAAACCTATTAATAAGGTGTATGTTAATAGATATTCTTACAGAAGTATGGTAGAGGGATAAGCTAATGAGAATTGAGAATGGGAATTTTAAACTTTAGTCTCTAATTCAAATTTCATACATGATAAGCAGTAAAAATACTTTTGAGATGGTGGAGAAGATTTGTAGCTCAGGTAGATGATTTTGATGGAGCTTTGTTCTCTGAGCTGGATGGTTTGGTCGTGGAGCTTTCATCGCACAAACTTCAGATAGAATTCTATCTGAAGTTTGTGCTGATGATGTCGTTCAGAAGAACGATGAAAGCTCCACGACCAAACCATCGAGCTCTGAGAACAAAACTCCGTCAAAAGTAAAAACACGATTGTTTGTTGCTTAAAACGCTTAAACTAATTGTAAACAAATACATTTTACCATGAGAAAACAGAAGTGCTCAATTCCGTGGTCTAAGGGTATTAGCCTGAATTCTAACCTTAATCTTGAAACAAACCTTAAATTGATGGCACTATATTTTATCGTTGAATTAATCAGATAGATGCTGTTGAACGTCTGGAGTAATGCATTCATCTGTCTACTTAGTTGTCATCAGCTTTTGATGGAAATCTTAACTGTAAACCCCTAATCTTTACTATAAATGCTTAAACTTAACTAGGAATGACAACATGGGGACTTAAAACAGTATCTGGGTTCTTTAAAGAATTGATGAAATATAGTTATCCATAAAGATGAGCTTTGATCTGTCGAAGACATGTAATAAATCTCTTTACACTTTACTAGGTTTACCATTTTCTTCTCTATGAACTATTCATTTGCATAAGATGTATTCTGAATGAATTTGAACTGGTTGAAAAATGAAGTTGAGAAATGAAATTCTATTATGGACTACTTTTGGGCGACGTTAGAGTTACCCTGAAAATGTCCATCTATTAACTAGGATTAAGTGACAGTTATAAAGCAATGTGAATAATTAGAATTATGATTTACAGTGGATGGCTATAAGGTTAGGGACTAGATTTAGAGTTTTCATCACGTAGTGACATCAGTTATAATGCCAAGATGTTATCTAGCCAGATAGATGAATGAAGTTCGCGCCAAAATTCAACACCTGTTATCTTAAAGCTGATTGGTTCGTCCATCAATTATAGTCTCGCAAATTATACTCTTATAAGCAGCATTTATGCTATATCTTTCACAAACATAGTTAACATAGAAACGCAGACGTACAACAAAGTCATGGATACATGATCTATGTCCCAATCTTGCCAGTATTACATATTGAATTTTACATTGTTTGCATTGTAAACCGAGATATTCTGATTGGAGTGAACTAAACAAAGCAAAGTAAAAATACACTTTATCAAAGTAAGTAAGGAAAATATTGTATCCGGTTATCTTTAACTATTACTGGCAGCTGATCCGTGTCGGGTAAAGACAGGTATCTGCCTCATTATAATGGAAGATGGTCGCGCAGTTTCGTGGATTGGTTGAGATTAGACATTAATACCATTGAATGCCTGACGGCTCAGTGGTGTAGAGGTTAAGCACTCGCGTGCGAGACTGAAAGCCCTGAGTTTGAATCCCTCTCGCGGGATCGTGGATGCGCACTGCTGAAGAGTCTCACAATAGGAGATCATTGAGTTTTCATTGAGATCATGAATGGAACAAAGTTAGACCATCATTAAAAACCTGTAAGCATTGGACAGTATTCGTGAAAGAGATCGAAGGTCCTAGGTTAGAATCCCATGTTGAGGATCGTGGATAGGCACTGATGATGAGTTCCATACTAGGAAGACACGGTTTTCAATGGTGATTCAAGAATGATCCATTCATGATCTCAGACAAGGATAAATACCCATAATGGTTTTATAATTACATGTTAGTAAAGTATAATGAAGAGTAATGAACTTACAGCATTGAATTATTCCATCTCCTATAAGAAATATGACAAATTGTATGAATATGAGAAACGTTAATTCGTAAGTAGTACCGTAGTAAATGAGAAATCAGGTGAGGAAGATCGATCTCATTTAATACAAAATTACAGAATACTTACACGAAATATGAAGAGCATACATTCAGTACATCATTTGCATATCTTCCATTAGTTATGCTTTATATGCTTCATAATTCTTTTAATTCTGTTGTTATTACAATTACTTTCTGTTTTCTTTCATTAAATCTTCCCAATCTTCAGTTGGTGTGTATCCCACTTTCGGTTGATGCTACATACTACTTTTATCTGTCAACATAGATAGATCCATGAAGTCACTGACAAGTGGGCTGAGCCATGTTGGTCGACGTAGACTACCTGGTTGGGATCCGCGAGATGATAGCAACCGATAATTAGAGACCTTGAATGACATAAGCCAAATTCGGTTGCAATGGCGCAAGTGTAATGTTTGGAAGTACTCGACGGGAAGCCCTGTTGAACTTAGGTTTCGTGCTATTTAACACTCGTCAGCAAGGTGTACTTGTAATCTTAAGGGAACTGATGTTTCCTAGGGAATGTAATCTCGTGTTACTCAGGATTCAGGATCACAGACGTTACTGCTGAGCTACTCATGCTGTTACGTCTTCCGATGAGTCTATATGATTTACAAAAAAGTATTGTTTTAAAGCAGAAGAAGCATTAATATGTTCAAGTAAATAATTTCACGTACTTCAGCCTGAGACACTCTTTACGTACGGATTTTGCCATAAAATAACAACTTTTAATAATTGAGATCATGAACCGATCAATTATAGACCACCAGTGAAAACCTGAGAGCAATGATGGTCCATCATTGATTGGTTCATGATCTTGATGAAACTCAGTAGTCTTCACAAAACTATACTGATAATTTTAATCAGATGTCTAATGGAATGCTTGTGTGATTTTACAATGTAAGCACTAAATTGTAATACTTGTGATCACATTCACATCATCTCTTATATATTTCGACCCTGGTAAGGCAGAGAGTGGTGATAATCAGCGTTCCCTCTTGAAATTCCCTCAAATGAACACTTGTATGCAGCCACTGTCAGGGAATTCTTAATCACTGCATGGGGGTGTTGTTTACGAAATCGGGCGCACGAAAATCAAATTTCTGGAGCTTTAACCGGATTGGTGAATATGGAGGAACCATCTATGGGAGTAAGATCGAAGGTCCTGCATTTGAGTCACGCGTGTGAGATCTTGGATGCGCACTTCTGAAGAGTTCCAAACAAAAACGAGACGGCCATCTAGTGCTTCTAGCTTTTCAATAGTGCTCTAGCTTAGGCCGACTCATGAACTCAACTATTAGAATTTATGTTTATTCTGAATTCAAATTTTGAAAATTCAATCGGCCTACCGACTGATTCAAGTATACTTAACAACAAGTTGTTACTTGTGAATTATGAAATCCCTTTTTATATCCAAGATTCAACAAGGAAGAAATGGTCTATAATCATTGGATCCAACGTGGTTAATTATTATGCTTATCTCATAAAATTTATTAATAGATGAATTTATGAGTGGATTAAAGCTAGACCACCATTGAAATCGTCCTAATATGGGACTCCTCAGAAGTGAGCATCCACGACCTCGACTCGAGGGATTCGGAGCAAGGACTTCGAAACCCAATGCTCCCAGGTTTTTCATGGTGATCTAGCTTAAATTGACTCATGATTTCAACTATTGATATTACTACAATCTCCACAAAACCCCTTCTGATACTATTCAAAATATGCTCACTAGTGACTGGCTTCAATATGTATATCCTGGAGTTCTAGTGAGAAGCAGTGACCAGTGGAGTTCAATCAGATATGTTGTGAGATATTAACTCACTGAAGACAATAGTGGATGGGTCGATCAATTTCGTGGATTAGTTGAAGTTAGACATTAACACCGTTGGATGCCGGTCGGATCAGTGGTTTAGTGGTTAAGCGTTCGCACGCGAGTCTGATAGGTCTTAGTTTCGAATCTCATGAGGCGAAATCGTGGATGCGCATTATTGAGGACAAAATGGCCATCCAGTACTTCCATGTTCTCCTCAGTGGTCTAACTTCAATTGACTAATGATATCAACCATTGACATTACTACAATATCCACAAAATGCCATCTGATACTAATGAAATTTTAAATGAAAATCAGATTATTTAATGATCATCTATTTATTTCGTTTAGTATACTATTCATAAACTAATAATGAGTAAAATGTGAAACTTACTCTGTGTACAAATTAGTTTAGCTAGTAAATAATGAATAATGATTACTTATAAGATTTTTAAACAAGAATCTAAATATAATAAAAGATGGAAAATGGCTAGCACTGGAAACCAGGACACGCATTTTGTCCTATTTAGAACTCGTCAGACGGATGTACCTGCATCTCAGAATCGATGTTCACCCTGGGATTCGAATTCTGTATCGTTTGGTTCGAATGCCACCAAGTTATCCACTTAGCTACTGAGTCCATAAAGCCACTTTCTTATGCTACAAGGTGAAATTAAATTCATTTTGTATTGGTTGTTTGAATCTTCTCGTTGGTGTTTAGGACCTCAATTAATCAGTCTCTTATATATGCTTATATCTACATATATACTCTTATATATATGAATATATGCCTAGTGTTTTTATTGGTTAAGATCTCACTTAGAGATTTAACATATCTGAGTTTCATCCATAGTGAGGTCATGATTAGATAATACTAAGAAACTTCAATCTATGATGAAATGACTGTCCAGTTCACCCATGATTTTAAGTCTTATTGCAAATGAAACTAGTCTATCTACAAATGAAATCATTCTTTACAGAATCCTTTCCATTTTTTATATTTCGTTCATTATGATAAGTAGAGTATTTTACTCACGTTGTCTTCTGGGATAATCTGCAATCATAGATGATGTAATCATCAATGAATAAGTTAAATCTAACAGTCTGTATTCCTTAATACAGGATATAATAATGACCACAGTAATAATGATATTGGCTTCATTCCATATCATATGTTTGAATTATGTAGTTATTTCTCAACTGAATAGGATATGTATTCATGAATGTATAGAGAATACGCTTTTTGATGTTCAGTTTAAAGGGTAAATGCTGCAAATAAAAGTATAGTTTCCATTTGGGGATTTCATTGCAGGCTGAAACATTTATTGTAATCACTTTTTCATCTAATCAAATGAATATGTGTTACGGTGAAGTGTTCGTAGAAGACATATGTACAAAGTCTTAGATGTTTGAAGTAGATCCTCACTAGAAAATAGCTTCGTGAGGGAATTCTCGGAGTTCTAGTCGGAAGCCATGACCAGTGGAGCTAATCTGTGGCGGGTAGGACAGGTAACTACCTCAGTACAATCGAAGATGGTCGCGCAATTTTGTGGATTGGTTGAGGTAAGACATTAACACCATAGGATTCCGGCTGGCTCAGTGATCTGGAGGTTAGGCATCCGAGAGCGAAACTGAAGGCAATGGGTTCGAATCTCGCGAGAAGAGATAGTGGGTGCACACTGCTGAAGAGTGCTACAATAGGACGGAACGGGTGTCCAGTGCTTCCAGGTTTTCCATGGTGGTCTAACATCAATCAGTTCATGTTCTCAACCAAAAACTTGATATTTCATATTTTTTTAACAATGATCTGCTTCAATTATTTTTTATTCCCTAACTTTTTTCAATCACTTCTGTCTTTACGACATAATATATCAGAACGGGTTTTATGGATATTGTAGTAATGTCAATGGTTGAAATCATTAGTCAATTGAAGCTAGACAAACGTGGGAAACATGAAATCACAGGACGGCCATTTTTTCTACTGGTGGACTCCTCAATAATGCGCATCCACGATTTCGCCTCATGAGATTCGAAACTAAGACCTATCAGACTCGCGTGCGAACGCTTAACCACTAAACCACTGAGCCGACCGGCATCCAACGGTGTTAATGTCTAGTTTCAATTAATCCACGAAATTGATCGACATATCCACTGTTGTCATCCGTGAGTTACTATCTCACAATTGACCCTATTGAACTCCATTGGTCACTACTTCTCATAATATACATTTAGCGTACAATTTTAAAAAGAAATCTAATGTATTTACTCAATAGATTTGAGTAGAATGGAAATATACCAGCACAAACTTCAAGTAGAACTGAAGTATTCAAATTTCGTCTCATATATGACTCAGCTGGTCCTATTAACCTTAAACTTGATCTTTATTCCATTTCACATCTGCCTGAAGTTTGTATTGATGATATTATTCACACGACCAAAAATATATATCTCCACGATCTAAACATTCAGCTTTGAGAATGAAATGTTGAAGTAGACTAGTTCAAAATGATAGGTTCGGGACTGTATAGAAATCATGTATCTGTGCACATATGCTAGTTCAAGGTCAACTAATTACTGAAAGATTTCGATGCATGAACTCTATTGGTCGAAATTTGTATTAACTATCTGAGTTTGAAAACTGGATCCAAAACCTACGAGACAAACATTTACAGTGTGAATGGATTTTTCAGTACATTGTAGACAGTTTAGAAGATGAGTTCATTTGCATTGACTGTTTAAATCTTCATTCTTATTGATGTTTAGGATTGAAATTGATCAGTCTTATATTCTTTTTTATTTCTTTTGGCTTTAATGTTGCCATTTTAATGAAATAGTTTATATGGAGAACTAAATAGTCAAATGAAAGTAGAAACAATTCGCTCTATTATAAAGATATAAAAAGTCTTTCTTTTAATTCATTCTAGAAATGATGGTTAGTTAATATAGTCTATCAATTAAGGAACGAGTATATTGCACAGTAGTTCGTTCTGTTCTACTTTATGGCTGCGAAACACGTTCATTAAGAGTAGAAGATACGCGTAAGTTCCTAGTATTTGACCACAGATGCCCTAGAAATATTGCTCGCATCTGTTGGCATCACTAGGTAAGCAATAGTGAGGTTAGACGCAAGATATTACGGAATGATCGTAAATCAGTTGATGAGATTGTGAATCTTCATCGACTAAGATGGTTGGGCCACGTGTTGCGTATGCCTGAACACCGATTACCACGACGCGCAATGCTGAATAGTGTTGGGGATGGTTGGAAAAAAGTTAGGGGCGGCCAAACCAAAACGTGGCATCAGTCCACAAAGTCACTAACTTCCAGTCTGAGCCATGTTTGTAGATACAGACTACTTTGTTGGGATCCGCGTAACTATCGTATCCATTTGCTGCAGACTCTGTATGATATAGCTCAGAATCGATCACAATGGCGTCGATGTGTACACTCTTTGTCTTCCCTTAAACTATGAAATTGCTTCATATATTTCTTTCTTTGAACTAATTCTTTCTGTACTATATCCTTATATTCAATCTTTCTTTTATATATTACTACTATTGAAGTAACTACTTCTATGAATTCGGTGTTCATCTTGTTGTACTAATGAGGTGTGGCAACTTGGACGATGCATATATGTACCTGATCCTACGTTGTAGCTGACTGACTGATTGATTGACTGGTAAGTAGGGAAGACACAAATGGCAACAAGAGAGAAGCTAATCAATTGCAGTCCTAAATAACAGTGAGAAGATACAAGTAAAACAACACCAAATAAGTGAAAATAAGTAGTAAATTATAAGTAATAAACATTGTTTAACTTACAACGAATACCTCCTATCATTAATAATGAATACTATAATTTAATATTTTACTACTAAATAGGTATCCATATCATGGTTGATCTTGATAGTTTCAAATAAATTGAGCATTGGATAGTGAGTTAATAATCAATATTTCTGATGTTTTGTAACTTAATGTAAGTAACTTCTTCAGAATAAATAAATAACTGATAAAATGTTGGAAATACATTTTTTCTGCTCATTGAGCATATGTTCACTAGTGACTGGTTTCAATATGTATATCCTGGAGTTCCAGTGAGAAGCAGTGACCAGTAGAGTTCAACCGGGTATGTTGTGAGATAGTAACTCACAATGGTGGATACGTAGATTATTTGGAGTTAGACATTAACACCGTTGGATGCCTGACGGCTCAGTGGTCAAGAGGTTAAGTATTCGCGCGAGAGACCAAAGGCCTTGTGTTCGAATTCCGCAACTGATGTCGTGTATACGCACTGCTAAGGAGTCCCAAATTGAGACGTAATGGTCGTCCAGTGATTCCAGGTTTTCAATTGTCGTCTAACATCAATCGGTTCATGATCTCAATTAAAAAATATGTTTATTATTTACTACTACAGGGACTACAACTAATGATAAAGAGCATAACAACCAGTGAGAAAAACAAATAAATAAGCAACTTAAGATCACTATAAAGATAAGCTAAGACATTTCATTCAATTAAAAAGTTCGTGATTATTCTCATGTATACTCAGAGCTTGGGATTATTTTATACCGTTAAAATAGATGAAATATTGATAGATTTATAAGAAATCTATCAAATCACTCGTCAGATGGATGAAAAATATGTCCTGTATTCTACTACTAGCCATATTCTATTTATTGAATATTCATCTGTGTATTAATGGCTATATGGAGGCAATCAATGTAGGATGAAAATATGGCAACCGATAATAGTTAACTCACTTACTTATGGTTGTTACCCCTCGTAGAGGAGCATAGGTAGCCTACCACCGCTCTTCATCCAACTCTGTTCTGGGTAATCCTTTCCAGCTCTTTCCAGTTGTTATTCATCCTTTTCATATCTGCTTCGATTTCCCGACGTAATGTTTTCTTTGTTCTTCCTCTTTCCCGTTTCCCTTCAGGACTACAAGTTAGCGCTTGCATCGTGATTCAGTTTGGTGACTTCTGTAAGGTATGCCCTATACATTTCCATTGTCTTTTCCTGATTTTTGGTTCAGGTTGAATATGATCTGTTCTGTTTCACATTAGGCTGTTGCTGATAGTATCCGTCCAGTGGAAGTTCAGTAACTTGCGTAGACAACTAATTATAAATACTTGTACTTTCTTGATGATGGATGTAGTAATTCTCCACGTTTCAGCTTCATACAGTGGAACTGTCTTGATGTTCGTATTGAAGATTGTAACTTTGATGTTGGTTAACAGTTGTTTTGAGTTCCATATGTTCTTCAATTGTAGGAATGTGGCCCTTGCTTTGCCAATCCTCGCCTTTACGTCTGCATCTGAACCTCCTTGTTTATCGATGATGCTTCTCAGGTTCGTGGAGGATTCCACATCTTCCAGAGTCTTGCCATCAAGAGTGATTGGTTTGGTGTTCTCTGTGTTGTATTCGAGGGCCTTGGTTTCACCCTGTTTATTTTGAGGCCTACTGATGCAGAGACTGCTGCCACACTAGTTGTCTTCATGTGCATTTGTTCGTGTGTACTGGATAGAAAAGCTAGGTTATCTGCGAAGTCCAAATCGTGTAGTTGCATCCAAGCTATCCAATATATTCTGTGCACCCCTTCAGAGGTGGAAGTCTTCATAATTCAGTCAACTACCAGAAGAAAGAGGAAGGCGGAGAGTAAACAGCCTTGTCTGACTCCGGTCCTTACTTGAAATGTATCTGTCAGCTGTCCTCCATGAAGGACTTTGCACTATAGTCCGTCGTATGAGTTCCAGATAATGTTAACAACCTTCTCAGGAACTCCATCTTGTTTGAATTTTTACATTCGGATATAGAAAATAAGGTTGGTGTATATTAAATAGCATACAGGTTTAAAAATTGTGTTGCCAACCATATAAATTTAGCTGTTCAAATAATTTGGAGCTTGTAAAATGGAACGCCCGAAGTAATAATAAAATTATTGTTAACTATGAATTCTTATCACCAGTTCCGATTTAGAAATTAGTTACTTTGGCGAGAATACCAGGATAATTCCAAAATAAATGTCGTTATCTTTAAACTTTAATTAGTCTTACAAGCAAAGATAGATAATGGCTAACAGTGGAATCCAGGGCACAAGTTTCATCCTATTTGGGACTTGTCAGCTGAATGTACCTGCATCTCAGGATGCAAATATGCCAAAAAGAGACTG